ACAGAATTTGGCCTTAAATGGGTAAATCGCAGGGATTTATTAGCCCTGAACACTTCATCCTTTTGGCTTGATTGTTCTCTAAACAAATAATTGACTGATGGATACGCTGCCTCGCTGTCTTCCTGCCAGCTTCTTTATTTTACAGTCTCCATAAAAATCAAGAGAAAATGCAAACTGGAAAAGGTAACGCACACAGAATCTCCAAGCTATGTCACACTCCAGCCTTTACGCTTGCTCGGGTCCATGAAATGAAGGGAAACAAAAAGGCAAGCCCTTCCCAATGAAAGGCTTGGTGCTGCCGTCTCGTGGGAAAAGGGAGAAGGGGAGCTTTGTTAATAAAAGCAGAAATGCAAAAAGGGAGATGGGAGGGAGTAAGGTTTAAAAAACTTGCTAAGACCAACACCCCCGTTTTTGTTTCAGGACGGCTGTGTGCTTTATTGCTCGCAGATCGGTTTCCTTTGCAGGTGATGCGGGCCCAGAATTACATCACCAGCGGAGCAGCCAAGAGCATCTCGGTGCCAGGATGACCCAAGCTGAGAGGAATGTATTATCACAGACCTCCGAGGGACTTGCCAGTGCATTCCTTGATGGGGGTGCTGCGATGGGGGAGACAGAGAGGAGACAATTTTACGCGAAGGCTGAAAGGAAACTTTGTGGAGGAAAGATCTGGGGTCACAGTCCTGCTGTCTCCTCTAAGCAGATCTAATTATGGCCATGTACTTCAAAAAGAGGGTTTAACTAAAACCAGATTTAGCAGGGCACTTCTTAGGAAGTACAGACTGAATCCCCGGCCTTGCCTTTGAGGAAAACGCGAAATGCTTCAGTGCACTGGGAACGCTGTTGCTGCGGTTGTAAAGAATAATTTGAAGCTGCAGCAAGGAAAGCAAGAGACGATTAAAAAACCTTATAATTTCAATGAAGCCTTACAATAATATGTGACTAAACATTTATATATGCATATATATATATATGCTTTCATACAGAACACAGGTACATTAGATCCTGGGTGTGTATTTCCTGACACGTTGTGTGGTGGGGTAAAAGAGTCTCAGCAGTCTTGGGGATCGTGCTGGAAATGATCAAACTGCTCACAAAAAGGTTGCACAGATCTCCCTTAACAAGCTCCAACAAAGCCTTTCTGCCACATCGAACACTCTATTGACAAACCATGTCCCCTGCATATGAAAGGAACTCCGTCCTCCCCCCGTTTTTGAAGGCTTTCAGGCTGTTTCTGCCATCCGTCCTGCAGGCCTGGCTCAGTGGTCCTCGCCACAAGCTGTTTCTGAACCAATAAAATCAATGAGAGCTTTCCAGTGCTTTTAATAGCAGCAAAATGTGCTGTCAACAAACTGCATTAAGAGAAGAGTACAAGACAAATTGTTGAGAGATTAGCACCTCTAAAAACACCAGGATTTTAAACCTCATCTCTTAGGTCGATTGAAGTGCCAAGTTACACGGAGCTCTCCCACTTTCCACCAGAAGTGGAACACCTGCTGGTCAAATACAAGGGTCACCCTGCTAATCAAATTAAAAAGTTTATCCTTGATCTTAATGATTTCTCTTCCTTTGCCCCTCCCGCAGTTCCCAGAAGAGGTGGGAGGACTGGGACTAGGCAGAACAGAGCTTTTCGGGGTAGGGAAGTGGCAATAGCTGGTTCAGCTGTAGCCCCTCAGCCGGTGTCCCAGCTCATGCTGCCAGCTCACTCTCCAAAGCGTGGCTGAAGACCAGGAGGGTGCCCGTGCTGGGAGGACCAGCTCGATCATTGTGGCTGCTGCTGCGTGGCCTCCTGCTCTTCAGGTGCCCACTGCATCCCACATTGTTGGTGCAGCTCCAGTCTGACCCCTCATTCCCCACCTGCCAGACCAGAGACACCTTATCCCACCATCTGCCACCAAAGGTCTCTGAGGGGGCCTGCAAAACACTCCAGCCACTATGTCTGTAGAAGTACCTTCCATTAAAAGTACAGATTTCGTTCATCTCCGTCCGGCAAACAGTTGTCACTACTCTTTTCCTGTAACATGCCAAACTTTTCTGCAGCCTTTCTACAGCTTAGTTGCAGCCAACACCAACAGTCAGGCCCTCCAGCTTTCTCCATTACCCTCCTCGCTGTCTACTATATTTGAATATTCCTGTGTACAATTTTCTCTTTTTTATGCTTTCCATGCATAATTATTCTTGAAAAAACAAAGTTTTCCTGTTCCTTCCTGTGCAAGGCTGGCCTAATAATTAGTCCCTTATAGGGACTGTTTGCTTTCCTATCAGGTTGCGGATGGATTAGAGATAATGCATGAAAGTATATGCAAAAAAGTATTCCAAAGTAAATACATTAAGTGAGTGCCAGAAATACATTAGAACTGAGGCATATTTCTGCTCCAAAAGAATTTCCCTTTTTATCTTGTTCAAACTTTCACAGGACAGCAAAAGTAGATGTGGCCTCTAAAAGCTGTTGTGCACAACAATGGTTCGGAAAGATTGGTAAAACACTGTGAGGAAAGAAATTACATACTCAGATCCAGGGCAGAAATTATTACTGCTGTCATTGTACTGGATTGCTGTGAGGTGGCTGTCCCACAGGACTGTTCTTCCTCCTGCTCACCCTGTCTCATTAACATTATAACTGAGTGCAGCAGTGTGGCTGACGGGCAAAGTTCACCTCCGTGTCCCTTTTTCATGGAGACTACAAGTCTGTTCAGCTTTTAATAAAATAACTCTCGGGCCTCAAAGCACCACTGTAAAACAAATTATAGAGAGAGAGGTACTTATAAAACAAAAATGTATAGGCAGGAGCCCGAGAGCTGCCTTTGGGCAGGTCAGTTCTCTGTCCCGATATGCAGATTGAGCCTGGGAGGGTTTTTGTATGTTTTGACCTATTGTAACTTAATCTTCCACTACAAAATCTTTCTTTCTGACAAAAATCTATTGTTGATTGCCACTGTGGGTCTTTCCTCACAAGTCGACCCATCACTCCCTCTTTCTATGTGAATAAAGCCCTCAAACCATCCTACTTCCAGTTTTTAATGCCTACAAAGATGTGGGTGCAGCCTCAGTTTCATGCGCCCTCAGGAAACGAAGATGAGGAGTTGAGATCATTTAAGATGACACACTAACGAGTGGTTTCCCTCCCATCCTGATTTTGTTAATCTTGTTAATCTGCAAGTGATATGGGAGGAAGACCCTGAAGAGGAAGGGACGTGCATGCCTGGTTTTCTATGTTTAGCTACATGCCATGTTCTTTCTCTCTGCTTGGTCGCTACTAAACTTGAAACGAATATTCTCATTAGTGCCTTAGACAAACAAAGTGGATTAAGTAGCAAACATCAGGTTTCTGGTGTCACTCAACATAAATCAAAAGGGCTTCAGCACTGCAGTTCTTCCCCCGCAGCCACCAGTACAGAGCCACTGGCGACTAAAGCTGGTGGGTTTAGTTGTCTTAAAGATCTGCTTTCAATAGAAGTTCAAACTCAAACTGTCCTTTTTTTATTGCTGTTTTCCAAAAATTGCACAGTGCAGAAAACCTGAAGTTGAAAAGACACGAAAGAGCAGGAAGAATATGAGAAAATGCCCACAGACATAGGACTCAACATCTCAGTAGTAGTAATCTGAGACAAAGCTTTTTATCCAATTCATTGAATGAAGTCAGTTCAAAACAGATCAAAATCTTAGGCTATTTAGTGGCCTACATGAGTTGAGCTGGAATAATAAGAAGCCAATGACTGTTAAATTAAAGTGAATATAAAATGTAAAGACAAAAGGAAAAGGTGTTTTAATACCACTTGTACTTTTATAGCATTTTAGTTTCCTGCATGTCCAGTCCACACGTACACAGATACACAGCATAGAGGAAAAAAGGCCTCTATGAGAATCAGATGTGAAATTGCTCCTTACTTGGAAATACAAATTCTTTATTTTCTGCTAAGAGAATCAGATTGCTAAGATGCAGAAGCATTTTTGTCCTTTAAAGTTTGCCAATCAACCCAGGAAAATGCAGAGACAGAAAACCAGCAGCTATTAAATCAGGAAATACGGTCACTGCAGCTCATGTGCCACCTACTCAAAGCTGGTGCTGAACTGGGCTTAGGAAATACACTAAACAATTTAGCTCCTGGCTTTTTGCAAGTGTCTGCCACCAGACTGTGGTTTCCTCAAAAGCATTTCTTCTTTGAACTTGCTTTAAGTATTTTTCTCAGAGCATTAAAAAAAACCCCCAAAAACTAAACCCAAAACACTGTGGGTTGATTCCAAGCAGTTTGGTATGAGCATGAAAATTTCATATTGAAAAGCTGAATGCTCATTCTTCACCCAAGGTAGGTGCTCTTTCTTTTTGTAGAGACTCGGAGAACAAATTACTCCCACAAGGAGGACAAGCACTTGGAAAAAAACCTGGAGCGTATGAGGCTGTGAGATAAACACTGCAGACAGTCCAGCACAGGCTGGGCACGTTCCATTAAACAGGAAAATATTTTCTTCCAGGGGAACGTAGATCTTGCCTGAGGCATGCGGCTTCAAAAATATGAAAAATAATGCCAGTGGTTTGTGACTTTGCAAGTCTAAATGTGAAGGGCATGGCAAAATCCCTACCACTTGTCTGCCAGTATCCTAATACATGTCATGGTTTTCCTTACCCTGTCCTCCTGCTGTGACAAACGGGGCCCCATCCCTCACAAAATGCGGTGCTTGGCTGAGCAAGCCAGCCCCAGCCTAAGCCAACGTAAATAACATCTGATCAGAAGCTACCAGGAGGCGAACCCAAAACGGGCACGAGTAATTCAGAAGAAACTTGTTTCTTAATTCAAGCGCGCACTACAGGAACATTCAGTGGTACTCCTCCAGCTCTGGACTTGCACAGCGATGTACTTACTAATAACATGAGCGGACCAGCTCTTACAAATGGTTTACATGGGAGTTTAGTGTCATTTAAACACAGAAAATACCAGGCCATGTCACTGCTGAACTGGCAAGCGTGGGGACACCGGGGATACCCTTTGCACCGTCTCAGGTACTCACCTCTCTCGCTCCTGTTCCAAGAGGTTGGTAAAGTCATCGCTCTTGTTCATGTAATCTGTATGTTTATGTTTCTCGTTTTCTAGCTCATAAACTGTGCGGCGATGGCACTTTTCTGCCAACAGGAGCTGTTCCAGCATGCGCCGATACGTCTCTTTCTGCTTTTCTTCAAGTCTGTCCAGCTGGATTGTAGGAAAGGAGAATAGACTGTTTTAAAGGTCTTCTTGCTTACTTCATCTGATTTATTAACCAACAATGTTGTGTTTGGTAAATGCAAGTCCCATAATTTTATGTCTTGGGCTTTACATAAAGCAGTGACTAGAAATAAGAGTAACTGTCCTGTAAAAGTAATGATTTCTTTGGACGGCGTGTTTGCAATAAACATTTGCGGGGTTCTCAGATACACAAAGGACAGAACTTTGCTCAGTTTTAGGGTAACAAATAATATTGTTGCAGTGCAAAATTTCCTCTGTCGTGAGGTGCTGTGCATGCTCCCCTCATTTCACACGAGGAAAGCTGTAGCAAATGCCAGGGCAGGATATATGACCTGAGACCCCAGGAGCCTGACTTCATGGGCCTATATGGGGACTAGACACCTACATGAGTAGCCTAAGCTGTAAACTCAAGGCTGAAATGTGTGTTACACGTCCTCAACACACCTCTAGGACTGCTGAGATAAAAAGTCTAAACTATTCAGATTCAGCACAGATTCAGTTTTACGTTACCAAATACAATCCAATATAAGCTGCAGGGTTTTCCCCTCAGCCTGTTTTTTTGACCAAAATGTCTCTTTCTTTCTTAGCAACACTTTACATTTTTTTATCTTCTGGCCATTTTAATTAATGAAACATGCCAGTCTTCATGGACAGGGAGGCATGTCTAAAAAGTTGCCAGGGCACACCCAAGCCACCACAGCTATTCATGGTGCTCCTCTCATTATTCCTTGGGAGCAGACAACAAACTCCATCCTCCTCCCCGCCAAAGCAGCCTGCAGCCCTGGTGCTTCTCTGCTTGCCTACCCCCAGCATGGCAAAGCCTGCTTTGCCTAACCCCAGCCCAGGGATTCTTGTGGGAATCCCATCTTCCTCAGCCCCAGCAGCACTGGGCAGTTGCTGTTTCACAGGGTGCCTCAGCAACTGAGGGAAATAGAGAGGACCAAAGCAGTTTGCTCTCCAGAAGTTGATCATGGCCGTCGAAGTAAACCAGTCATGGCATTTTTTAAAGGAGCCAGGTTGGATTCTGCCTTTGAGAGCAGATCTTTTACACTTATGACATTTTGTCACCACCCTATTTTGGCTCCAACATAACCCCTGTGGACCTGCACATGACAAAAGTTTTACTCTGATGTCCCTGTCAAACTATCAGCTTCTTTAGTCCTGCTAAACTCTTTTAATCTTGTTTGAGAGTATTTCAAGCATGCTCCCAAATGCTAATGTTTGATTTCCTTATTTATCATCATTTGAAAAACTCCAGAAAACGCTTCAATGAGAATACACAGTATAAAGTTATCCCATAGTAGACACAATTCCTGGTGGGAAAGTTCTAATAGGAGGAATTAAGAAGAGTTGGACAGGCACTACAGTATATTATACTGTATGTTGTTGCGTGCCCTCTATCCATGTCCTGGACTGTTATAAAACTATAAACATAAGCAGTGGCTGCTTATTTTGGCATTCTCGCTGGCCTCAGACATTCCCAGGTCTATTCTACATTCATTTATTGCTTAGATTTTAAAGCAAGAGATCAAGTCCTACAGGTGTCCTTTAGGGGCTGAACTGACTTTGCAGTCCTAGAGCTTAAGTGGCATAAAATGATTACGGATTTATGATGTCATAAATATGGTCGAAGTCAATCTCTGAAGGTCTCCTTTTCCTAACTACCCACATGATAGTGCTCTGGTATGCCAAGAAAATCAGAGTGCTTACCAATGCTGTAGGCAGTAAAGGTTGGAGACTATAATTGAAAGGAATGTAAAAAACAGAAATGTAATACCCAAAGATTTTGTTCTCACTTTACAGCACCAGCCCTAAGGAGCATACAAGCTCTTTATTGTTTGTGTTCAAACCCAGCGATTTTGCTTACAATTTATTCTGTGGTTGAGTGAACACAAATATTCAATTTTTCTTCAATTTCTTGTCATTTGCACAAGTGCTGCATTATCCTTTCTCATGCTTTGTACACAGACAAAGTACGTGGAGTCTTATTTCTGGTTATGATTGCCCCTGCACAGATGTAATAATGTCAATCAAGACGTCTTTACCTCTGAAATTGGTTTCTCATAAACATCTTCCCCTATAGACTTTTCTTGGGCAAGGATGGCATCTCTGTGTAGCACTCGGAGCACGTTCTCTGGAGCTGCAGACCCATAGTGAGCTTCTAAAACTTCAGGTTTGGTTTTCTCTGTCTTCAGCATGTGGATCACATCCTCCCTTGCCTGTAACATTGCAAATCAGTACCATAAGCCGACCTAGTAACCAACAGGGAAAACAGGGATAACTGGGACATTTCATCCGTACGGACTGCATATACAAAAATAAAATAAATTAGAAGAATGATGGGCTGCCAGTGCAAATATAAAAACGTCGGTAGACATCAGAGTAAACATGATCTGCGCAATCCAGATGTGGTTCTTGTAGGCATTAATTATTCTATTCCTGCCTGTCATTACACCTGAATGCTATGAATTTTTATCTGGGTCGCAGCTACAGCCAGGCAACATCATCAGTCTTCATATACTTCATCTACTCACTGCCCATGCTGTTCCCTGACTGGAGTACGGAGATGAGTAGAACAAGCAGCAGAATCAGGCTGAATTAGTATTTCCTAGGTGGCCTCGAATCAAGTATTTCCTAGTCATTCCCTACCTGACTTTGTGACTAAATGTTCTCCTCAAGTAACTTTTACACTGAAGTTCTCTAACTTTTGTTTGTTTAAACAAAACCCTAGAAACGGTGCAGACGTCGGGTAACAGGCATAACTGGCAGCAGACCCACAGAGGCTGAGCAAAGCCTGCCGGCAGCGGAGGGGGTTGTACCTGGGAGCAGCGGTGGTCCTGAGGCTGTGGGAGCATGGGTCCCAGCTCCTGCTGCTCACCCTGGGTGGGAGCCCCCAGTTTCAGGCAGCATGAACAGGCATCTGGGCATGATGAGACTGCTCTGCAAGGCCACTGGGTTATGAATAAGGGGCATTTTAGGGCTACGCTGCTGACAAACGCTTAATCTCCAGCTCTGATTCGAATGATACTTGGCAACATCTGTTAAGCCACCTGTAAAATGGGGACAGGGCACTTGCTTGTCCTTCAACGCAGTTTTATAAGTCCATGATCCGGGGAGGGGCTGTTAAAGGTACGAGTTTTCAGTGGGCATGAAGGAGCTCCCTGGTTTCCCTGCAGAGCATCTCTCCTACAAGCCCAAAGGGGAGGGGGGCAGAAGGGTACAGGCACAGATTTTTCTCTCACCTGCCCTTCTGACACTCAACCCATGTGAGCCTGGGAAGCAAATGAAGGGCTAAGGAAAGGGTCAGATATCTTAGGAAAAATCTCTTACCAAACCTGCCTGTATGTAAGAAATGACTGCTTAGGATTTATTTATGAACTGACCAACACTTCATGCTTTCCACAGTGTTCATAATGGCATCCTGTATTATCCCTGTAGAAAATCTTACATCTTTACCCAATACTACAGAGGCATCGCAGCTTAACAAAACCACCTGATTTTAAAATGAGCAAGGAACCAATTTCAGGAAATGGCAAAGACCCTTTAGTTTCTGGGAGGTTTTGGGGGTGTGGTTATTTTATTTTATTTTATTTTTTAATAAAATAGAATAACAAGAATATAAACCAAAAAAAATTATCTTCAGGCAAATATCATGCCACTCAACTGAGAACTAACCTGATTCTAAGCAGCTAACTGTAAGTGCTTATTCTATACAACATTCTGTAACTACAAGTAAAAGCTTTTTGAATATCTGCAAGTTACAAATAACGACTGGAATGGTATGAGTGCTTTTTCAGCACAAGTGTGGGAAGGATGCATCACTCATACATGCCAAAACTACAAGTGCATCACGTCGGCTAATCCCAAAGAGTGCCGAAACAGTCTGTACACCTCACTACATCACGTCCTGAGAACAGGCCTCTCTAAGTAGAGGAAAAATGCTATTTTAGGAAAGTTTTAGACAGGTTAGAGAACACATAATTTTTTCTCTCTCTGTGAAAATAACAGTTATCTTAGTGTCTTCGTTACTATGAGGTCAACGCTTCTATACTGAAGAAAAAGCCCTTTAAAAGTCTCAGGATAACATGGGAGTTTTGGGGTATGTATATATATAAACAGATCACTGTTTTATGACGTGTTGTTTTAGGGCTTTTCAAGAAGAGACAGCTTTTGGGCCATACCTGCCTCCTGCCTGCCCTGAACGAATTCGGTGTACCCTCTGTGTGCCTCACAGGAGGTGTCCTGTGCCATGGGTGTGCTCGGGGAGAGCACTGTGCAAAGGGAACACTGAAAACAGCAGGTTGAGGGGGCAGCCCCCTTCCACCCTATGCACCAAGGGCCACAACCAGGCACGCTGAAACCTCAGTTTGTCTTGGTCCTGAGCACAGAAGGCTTCAGGCCTCATACATCCCATTCCTCAGGGACAGGCACACCTCAGACCCCAGGCTGTTTGGGAGGGGAGGAGGAGGAGTTCATTCTCTCCTGTTGAAGATGCTGGGCTGTGGACAGCGTAATTAAACACTGACAGGGCCAGGCAGAGCAGAGACAACTCGGGCTTGGTGATTTAACTCTATGACGTGGGAGAGTGAAGAGCTGGATGCCAGTCCCTGCAATGGTTATTCAATACAGTGATAGCTGACGGAGGGACTGAACGCTGCTCTTCCCAGCGAGTGCCTCAGCCCCTGTGCATGCTATTCTTCCAGCCTCATTAGTGTATAATCATTGCTGATTAAAATGGAGCAACTCTAGCAGGAGGGAACGAGAGTTCCCAAAACAGCTTATAACTTGCCAGCTAAGAAAAGTATCCTGGGCAGTATCAGAAGTGTGGCCAGCAGGTCGAGGGAGGGGATTCCCCCCCTCTGCTCTCAGGAGACCCCACCTGGAGTGCTGCATCCAGCTGTGGAACCCTCAACATCAGAAGGATATGGACTGGTTGGAGCGAGTCCAGAGGAGGGCCACGAAGATGCTCAGAGGGCTGGAGCACCTCTGCTATGGGGACAGGCTGAGAGAGTTGGCCTTGTTCAGCCTGGAGAAGAGAAGGCTCCGGGGAGACCTTATTGCACCTTCCAGGACCTGAAGGGGCTACAAGGAAGCTGGGGGGGACTTTTTACAAGGGCCTGTAGTGACAGGACAAGGGGTAATGGGGTTAAATTGAAAGTGGGGAGGTTTAGATTGGATATCAGGAAGAAGTTCTTCCCGGAGAGGGTGGTGAGGCACTGGAACAGGTTGCCCAGAGAAGCTGTGGATGCCCCATCCCTGGAAGGGTTCAAGGCCAGGCTGGATGAGGCTTTGAGCAACCTGGTCTAGTGGAAGGTGTCCCTGCCCATGGCAGGGGGGTTGGAACTAGATGGTCTTTAAGGTCCCTTCCAACCCAAACCGTTCTATGATTCTATGATCCCCAGGGCACAGGCAGCTCCCCACTCACGTACCCCTTCCTGGGCACCCCACGCTCTGCAGACACTCAGGATCTGGATCGCATTAGCATGGCAAGGTGCCTTCTGCCTTTTCTGGGCTTGGCCATTGCTGCTATCGTTATCTTTTCAAGGGTAATTCACAGAGTACTTTGTTTCCATGGACTTATGATAACACTTTGTGAAAAGCAGACTAACAAACAGACACTCGGGTTGCTAGGAAGCATTGGACCAGAAAAGGGGCCTTGTGCTATTAATAAACTGGAAACAAATTTGCTTTTATTTGGCCAGCAACAAGCCACAGCATAGGAAGATTTTGAAGTACAGCTAGCCTAGGTCTGGATGGCAGGGGATCATTGCTAAGAAGAGGTCACCGTACTGGCAAGCTGTTTCTACTGATGGACACATACTGTAAGGCGCCTCCCTTGTCTCACAGCACAATGCTGTTTAGTGTAAATCATAAGCTAGGAGACAAACACAAGGAAGAGTTTTCAAATTCAAGTAAACTTGTATATAAATCCTAGAGGAAAGTTGTTAGCTGTTTTGGTAGAAGCAGCATGGTGTTTGGCACAGGAAAGACATATCTCAAGTCATGAGGGTTTGGGTTCTTTTTGTTTTGTTGGTGCTCTGATGAGAAAGAATATCCAAGCATGAGAAGACCACATATTGCAAGAGCTTGTAACACAATGAAACTTATTTGCGTAAGTCCAGAAGACTGCAATTACAGAAGCTCCTTAAAGTCAAGACAGAATTTAGAAAATACATACATTTACTTTTTTTGATTGCTTAAATTGTCATACAGACAACTCCAAGCTAACTTTCTGCCTATGATGTTCACATTGTGGGTTCCTGAAAATAAACAGACTTTTTTGTTAATAAAGTGCCCTAAATTACTTGATTTTCCAAACAGTAGGAGCAATGAAGTCAGATTAATGAAAAAGCCACTTTTACCTCTTGGAAATAACACTCAAGGTGAGAAACACAGAAGGTCAGATATGTTGAGAGGTGTTTTTGCACACTCATTTTCTCCAGGAGCAAAGCCTAATTAGAGACTCCATGTCCATCAAACTCATAGAACAGCCCAGGTTGGAAGAGACCTTAAAAGATCATCTGGTCCAACCTTTCACAGGAAAAGAAGTCTAGATTAGATCATCTAATACTGTGTCTAATTGTGTCTTGAGAACTTCCGGTGATGGGGACTCTACCACATCCACGGGGAGGCTGTTCCAGTGATTGATCTCACTGTAAAAACTTTCTTTCCTTTGCCGAGATGAAACCTCTCCTGCTGCAACTTGCACCCATTGCCCCTTGTCTTTGCTGCGTGGCTCCAGACAACCCCTGTCCTCTTTGTAGCTGCCCTTTAAGTACTGGCACACTGTGATGAGGTCCTCCTGAGCCTTCTCTTCTCCAGGGAGAAAAGAGCTAACTCCTTCAGTCTTTCCTCATAGGGCAGGGTCTCCAGCCCTTTGATCCTCTTCACCGTCCTCCTTTGGACTGCCTCCAGCCTGCCCATGTCTTTCTTGAATTGTGAGGACCAGAACTGGACACAGTGCTGTG